TAATTTGCAGATTCTACCATGTTGTGATTGCCTACTTCAGAGGATGCTTAACTGATATTAATCCTACCTCATTACACATTACTACATCTGAAATAATCTGTTGCTGGGTAGGTTGTGCAACATGTTGCTCTAGGAGACAATTCCTGGTGCATTCTACAAATTTGTGTTCCATATTACCCTTGCCCATTTGGTTTGTCAATACGCAGATTAAAATCACCCAGTGACAATTGTAGTGCCCTTCTTACACCAGTGCCATTATTTCCTGATTTTGGGCTCTACAGACAATTCCGCCCATGACTTCCTTCTCTTGCTGGTCCTTATTTGCACACAAACTGACTTTGCATCATGATCTGTTGCACCCATTTTACTACTCATCATGATACTGATACCTTTCATTATTAAAAAAGCTACCCCACCTCCTTTTCCTTTCGGCATATTCCTTGGAACATCAAACGCCCTTGTATATTGAGCTCCCAGTCCAGATCGCACTGCAGCCATGTCTCAATAGATGTCAAGTCACACATTCATTTATTTCTATTTGTGCTCTTGTTACAACTGCTGCATGATTTCATTTTAATTGCTACTCTGCTCTGCTCTGTCATTTCTTTTCAATGTTTTAAACTTCCCTTCAATTGAACCCTCCCCCATACTAATTAGTTTAAAGCCCTATCTACAACCCCAGTTATATGGTTCATCAGGACACTGGTCACCACACAGTTCAAATGAAACTTGTCCCAGCGAAACAGCTCTCTCTTTCCCCAGTACTGGTGCTAGTGTCTATGAATTGGAACCCATTTCTGCCACACCAATCTTTGAGCCAGACATTTATCCTCTTTAATCTTATTTACCCTACTCCAATTTGCATGTGGCTCAGGTAGCAATCCTGAGACTATTAACTTTGTGGTTCTGCTTCTTAATTTAGTCCCAAATTGCTCGTAATCCCTCACCTAACCTGTTTCCTAATCCTACCAATGTCATAGTTACCTACAGGATCACTGACAATTGGATCCTTCCCCTCCCACTTCAAGTTCCTCTCCAGCCCAGAAGAGATGTCCTGAATCTTGGCACCAGGTAGGCACTTTGGGACACTCTGTCTTTGCTGCCATTCCTTATTTCTACTACATTTTTCTTCCCTCCCACCTGAATGGCATTCTGAACCACAGTGCTGTAGTCAGTTTGCTCATCCTGCAGCCTGTGTGTTCGTCCATACCGAGAGCAAGAAACCTGTACCTCAGGTTGAGGGCAACCAATGGTGGCTAACAAATGTCAGCCTGGCCAGTGTTGCCCACATCCCAGAGTCAGATAGCTTCTTACACTAAACAGAGTCCCCATCCCAAAAACACATTCAAACCTGACAGACTGTGTATTAGAGATAGTAGGAACTGCAGATGCTGGAGAATCTGAGATAACAAGGTGTAGAGCTGGATGAACACAGCAGGCCAAGCAGGAACTGTGTATTCACAGCTTCTGGAGTTGTTTCTCACAATTTCCCTTCTCCAGTCCTGTCAAATTGAAAGTGCCGCCTCCCCTACTTTGTCATGCCATGTTCTGATTGAATAATGGAACAAACTCGAAAGGTTAAATGGCCTCCTGCTTTTGCTGCCATCCTATTTAACAAAACTTGTGATAATGTTGAAAAGTTGCCGTCAGTGTGCACAGGACTAGAAGCTGCAGGCAGTGAATGGCCCAGAGCTGTGTTCAGCTGCTTCAGATCCCTGAATGAGTTATTACTTGTCCTCATCCCAGAAACTGCAGTTTTTATCAGTGTGTCAGGGTTGGACTCTGTGGCTGAATGGCTAGAGACCAGGCTACTCCTCAGTTTTGTGTGTGAGTTGTATCACTGCAAAATTAGGCAAAACTTACAGCAGTAATTCTGATTCCTCATTACTGATCTGGGAAAATCTAACTCCATAGCCCCTGAAGAGACTGAATGTTTGTGAATGTGGTGCCAATCAAGCACGAATGCCTTGACCTGGAAGATACCAAGCTTCTTCAGTGTTGTTACAGCTGCACTCATTTAGGCAAGTGGGGAGTATTCCATCAAAAAGCCAAAAGAACTGTGGATGCTGGAAATCAGGAACAAAAACAGAAGTTGCTGGAAAAACTCAGCAGGTCTGGCAGTGTCTGTGGAAAGAATTCAGTTATCTTTTCAGGTCCAGTGACCTTTCTTCAAAACTCTGAAGAACTTCTTCAGTCCTGATGAAGGGCCACTGGACCCAAAAATGTTAACTCTGATTTCTCTCCACAGATGCTGCCAGACTTGCTGAGCTTTTCCAGAAACTTCTGTTTTTTGTTTAAGTATTCCATCACACTCCTGACTTGTGCCTTGTAGATAGTGTACAGGCTTTGGGGAGTCAGGAGGTGAGTTACTCGCCACAAAATTCCCAGCATCCAACTTGCACTTGTGGTCACCATATTGATATGGCTGGTCCAGTCAGTTTTCCAATATGATCCACCCCTTCCCACCAACTCTATCCCCTCTCTCCATTCCTGCTTTTCTTCTTCCCCTCTCTAATTAGCTTTCTCCCTCATACCCCTCCCCTTCCTTCATTGAGGCCTTTTTTTTTTTAATGTTGGAACAACAGAAGCAACCTGAACAGGTGGGGTAAGCTCCCACAGAACCAGGATTTTTAGTTTTTCAGTAGCGGTTGCTGGGTCTTGAAGCTGGTTTTGGAAACTGCTTTCTTGATGTTTTTGAGTTTCCTCTTGATGTTTTTCCTCCTAGACTAGAGAATTGCCTATGAGACAATCTATTTTACTGAATTTGCCGTAGTTAAAGGTGTGTTTATGGGATCTTACTATATTGGAACAGTTACAATAGTGGTAAAATAATCAGTTATTGTGTTAAGTTTTCCAGTAGAGTTAAGTTATTCCATTTTTTTCTTTCTTTTGTTGTATTTTAACTATATGTATGAATAAAGTGTGTTTTGCTTCAAATCTGGTAGTTTGACCAATCAAATTGAATCCGGAACACATTGCTGGCACTCGCCTTTAAGATAAGAAAATGTTATGGTCCAGGCTATCCTCTTAATATATTTTGAGGGGATCGGGTCTTGTCCATAACACACACTTCATTCCAGTAGCACCCTCACCTCCCTCCCTGCTCCCTCTGACCTCCCCTTCCTACCCATCCTTTTCTGTTTCCGCCTTTTCCCTCACGCTTTCCTCTACACTTCTCTTTCCAATTAGCTCTTTACACTCCCCTTCCCATCTCCTCTCCCCCATCTCAACCCCTCACCCTCCACTTCTTCCACTTGACTTCCTTCTTCCCTTCTCATCCCCCTTCTTGTTCCCGTGTCTCCCACTTGCCTTTCCCTCTCCCTTGTCATGCTTCACTTCCCTCTTCCTTTTTCCTCCCCCCTTCCCTTTCTTCCTGTCTACCTCCACCTCTCTCCAACTTCTCCCCTGGCCTTCCCTCCTTTTTGTTCCCGTCACTCTTCTTCTCCCCTTCCCCTCCCGGCCCTCCTCTTCTCCCCTTCCCCTCCCGGCCCTCCTCTTCTCCCCTTCCCCTTTCCCCTTCCCCTCTCCCTCCCAACCCCCTTCCCTCTCCCTCCTATCCCTATTCATCTTCCCTCCCCCTCCCAGCCCACTTCTCCTCCCTCCCAGGCCTCTTCCTTTCCCCCTCCTTTTTCTCTCCCTCATAGCTCTCCTGAATCTGATCCCATGTTCCTCCACCCATTCTCACAGGTGAAACATCAGATATGGCAGCAACTTTCTGTCAGTTAATGATTGGGTGTCTTTTTGTTGGGTTGTCTAATGATAGGTCTCTGACTTTCTACAAAAAAGCCTTTGTTCAGTTGAATCAAATTTGGGGCCATTCCAGTGCAGTAACTCTTTCAAGCTGCATAACTGGTGAAATTGTAACTGTATAACATGGACCAGATCTCAGACAATTTACTGACCCAGCCCTCTTAGAAGAGCAGGATTAGCCATATAAAAGGAAACGGGAGTTTTTCGTTGGTGGTTGGAGCTGGGAGAGAGAATAGGGGGTAGCAAGTGGAGCAGCGAAGCTCTGACAGAGGATAGTTGAGGAAGTAGGAGTGTGTGGATAGGCAACAGTGGGTTAAGATGGGAGTAAGGAGCAGAGTTTCTCCTCCAAGAAGTGGAGTCTTCCCTTGTTGGAGGGGGCTTGGAGTGCAGATTCAGTGTGGGTGTGGTTGTGAGTAAAACTGTGTAAGCCTTTGGGAAAGTAGAAGAGGAAAGTATTGTCCAGGGGAGAGGTGGTGGTGAGTGCCCTTAGTGTTGTGGGGAGTTTTTTTTTAATGGAGTGATTCGCTTGCTTTCTTTCTGTCTCTCTGTGCTAATATGGATTTGAGCCTCTGTCTTTCTCTGTTAATTGTGTTGTGGTTTCTGGTTTCGTGGTTAATTATATGCAGTTGGAGGTGTTACAACACTGAGACATACAGCCAAACCAAATCAACCTCCCTACCTCTGTATTTGCAACACAGTAAAATTAAAACCTTCAAAGATCCTCAAAATTAACCCTAATGATTCCTAACCAGATATTTGAATAACCAGTCCCAGATTCTGTAGAACCTTTTGGATCAAGAATTAACCTACGATTAAGTTCCAGGCCTGGCCTCACAAACAATATTGATTGTTTTCTATTCCATTTTTAGTACAGGCTGCCTCCTACAGTCCAAAGGTCATTTTCAGCTTACGGTTCTCAGTTCACAGCTCCAAACCAAAATTCATAAAAGAATAAAATTAAAATAATGAAAAATCAGTAAGGATTCTAACAGAGGACATTAATTAGATTGTTGCTTGAAATTCATAGTGGGTTTACCAAAGAGGTATGAAGAGACACTTAATGGCATTGGGGTGAGGCCTGACTTATGAGCCATGTAATTGTGATGTTTTGTTTTTTACTTGATTTAAATCCAGTTCCAGGTTGGTTCTGAACTCATCCTTCACCAACTGGCTTTTAGGAGTTTGACATGTCTCTTCCTCTCTCTGTGTTCAATTATTTTGAGTTAATCCTGCTATCTTCTATGCTGCAGATTCTGGATGAAGTTCTACGAGATCTCTATCGACTGTTAAAGTATGTGATCCAGACTGATGAAGATGAAATGGTGGTAGTGCATGCACAGATTGCACTAGATGAACTGGACCATATCGTAAGGAGATTTCTGTTCCCAGAAGAAAAACTGCAGAAAAAAATAGTCATCCTTCCATAGCAGAAGGTGCCAGAACCCCTCTGCACTAAAATCTAGGATCAACCAATTTGAATATTTTTCAAATCCATCTTTAAGACTATGACGGAACTCCAATAATACCATGCCCCATTTAGTCTTGTGTTTTTTTTTTGTAAACGTAATACAGCCCAACAGATCTGTACGAAGCATGATAAGGTGCAGACATGATTAAATTTGTCGACTTGTTGCACATTCTCTCCAAATTTCCCAGGAAGATGAGTTTTCTTACGATGACGGTATGGCTGCCAGTTTTAGTTAATGTTAATGGCTGCCAGTACAGGAGATTGCGTTTCTGTCGCCATCTTTACTGAATAGGGTACTGTTTGCTGGATTAATAGGGGGGGTTTGATCTTTCATATCACTTCACAGTAACAGTGTACAATTAAGCTCAACTGTGTGGTCTTTCCCCACTGATTCTCCCAAGCCCATTCTCTTTGCATGTAGTTTGGCCAGACAGCAAGTAGGGACAGTGAAAATCTCATCATCCATCTATGTGTAATTGCTAATGAGATGATGAAGCATTTACCTATGTACAATGCACATAAAATGCACTTTCAAATTTCAGTATGACTCATTCATAATGCCAAGTTGACAAGGTTTAAAAAGTTGCAGTCAGTGAGGAGTGGGATGGGCAATGGGATGTAGAGAAAGAGGAAGCAAACACGAACAAATATGGCATACAAAATTTTGGAGCTTGAAGATCACAAAAAGGTCAACAGCACAGATGACTGATTAACACTGTTTATTATATATCCTACCATCATTTGGTGCAATGCAATTATTGTTTATTAACTAAAATTAAGATAAATTAGGGAGTAAAGCAGGATCTATGGAGAGGGAAACAATTTACACAGAGCTTCCCAAAAAAGCCACAATCCCCAATTTTACTCCAACAGCTGCTATAGTCCACTGAATGTAACATCTCTGAGGTTCCTTTAAATTCTCCCTTTTTTAATGATGGGACATGACTTGATTGACTGATCCTTGAGGTCCAATTCCTGCTCCCAAAAAGCTTAGTGGAAGACTTCCTTTTAAAAATATTCCTGTAGATTAAAAGGCCTGATCTCACAGAGGGGTTATGGCAATTTTTAAACTTTGAGATGGAGTCACATTGCGTAAAAGTTTTGGAAGCACTGGCTTAACATTTCAAGTCAGTGACCTTCCTTCAGAAGTTTCTGATGAAAGATCATTGTCTTAACATAATAATTCCGTTTCTGTCTTATCTAATGCTGCGTGACCCGCTAAGCATTTTTCAGCATTTTCTACTTTTATTTCAGATTTCTAGTATTTTGCTTTTCTGAGGTAACTAGATGTACCAGGGTCTACGTCTCAGTTCACTCCACTCTGAATTTATTGTCCATACAGAAATTAATTTTAGGCATGTTAGTTGTTTGTTCAACAATAAATAAATAGATAACAAGAGGGTAAAAAAGTTACTCTTCTCACAAAAATTTAACTTTAATTAAAATATATGTTAAATTGGAGTGTAATTAAAATATATGTTAAATTAAAGTGTAATTGGAATCATCACCTCCTTGAAAGCTTATCCTCCTCCCTACATCAGCTCCACTCAAGTTCTTACTAAGAAGGGCACAATTGAGTTTAGGAGCTCATTTGACCTACATTGCAAGAATTGTAGCCTTGAGTGCATCCAGTATTAATACTGTGGCAAGGGTGATCCTCAGTATTCGCAACACTCTTGGCTTTCACCAAAATTCTTCGAGAGCAGATTTCATCAAGGAAGATCAGCACATCAAATCCCTTTCCTAAGGTCTTAGCAAAAATTTGTAGCTTGGGTTGTGGATGCAGTTGTTCGTTTGCTCACCGAGTCAATTATTCCATGGTGTGCAGATGTTTTGTTACCATTGTAGGGAACATCATCAGTGTGACATCTAATCGAAGTGTTGGTTTTCTGCTCCATTCAGAATTTATATGATCCTCTGGTGTGGTGGGTCTTGTCACTTCAGGTTCTGTTTTATAGCACCGGTCTGTATACTGGGTCTATTTCTATGTGTTTATTAATGGGTTTGGAAGGTGCTGTCTAAGGATCTTCAATGAATTTCTTGTAGATAGTACACACTGCTGCTACTGAGCATCCATGGCGAAAGGAGTGGATGCTTGTGGATGTAGTGCCAATCAAGCGGGCTGCTTTCTCCTGGATGGTGTCAAGCTTCTTGAGTGTGGTTGGGTCTGCACTCATCCAGACAAGTGGGGAGCATTCCATCACACTCCTGACTTGTGCCTTATCAATGATAGACAGGCCTTGGGAGTGGCGGGGGGGCGGTTTTATACAGGACATTGGTGAGGCCTCTTCTGAAGTACTGTGTTCAGTTCTGGTCTCCCTGTTATAGGAAGGATATTATTAAGCTGGAGAGAATTCAAAAGAGATTTACCAGGATGTTGCCAGGAATGGAGGGTTTGAGTTATGGTGAGAGATTAGATAGGTTGGGACATTTTTCACTGGATGTAGGAGATTGAGGGCTTATTTGAAAGAGGTTTATAAAGTCATGAGGAGGATAGATAAACATAGAAACATAGTAGATAGGAGAAGAGAAGGCCATTCAGCCCTTCAAGCCTGCTCCACCATTCATCACGATCATGGCTGATCATCCAACTCAATAGCCTAATCCGGCCTCCTCCCCATAATCTTTGTTCCCATTCGTCCCAAGTGCTGTCTTTTTCCTAGGTTGGGGGATTTCAAGAATAGGGGGCATAAAGGTGGGGGGAAGATTTTAAAAAGACGTGACGGGCAACTTTTTTACACAGAGTGGTTCATGTATGGAATGAACTTCTAGAGGAAGTGGTGGATGTGGGTACAGTTACAACGTTTAAAAGACATTTAGAGGAGAGCAGAGGGGGATATGATTAAGATGTGTGAAATTATGAAAGACAGGTAGACAGGATAGACAAGAAGAAATTTCTCTCTTTGGTGGAGGGTCAATGACCATTGGCATAGATTTAAGGTAAGGGGCAGGAGATTTAGAGGGGATGTGAGGAAAGTTTCTTTCACCCAGATGGTGGTGGGAATCTGGAACTTGCTGCCTGTGAAGGGTGGTAGAGGCAAAAACCTTCATAATATTTAAGAAATATTTAGTTGTGCACTTGCAATGCCAAGGTATACAAGACTATGGACCAAGTGCTAGAAAACGGATTTGAATAATTATTTGTTGGTTTTGACCGATGCAGCCTCAATGAGCACAAGGACCTTCTGTACTTCTTTGACTCTACTATGGCGGTAGTCACTGAAGATATTCACAAGGCTGACAATGTTCTTCAACAAACAAACACATGTTTATGTTAGAAAAGAAAAAAAAATCAAAAAAGCTATATACCATATGACAGATTAGCAAGGTCTCAACAAAAACAGCAAAACAAAATTTCAATTTTTCCCCAGCAATGCATTTTACAGATATCCAGTTTCAATGAAGTGTCGCTCCTATCTCCTACCCTCAACAACTTCTCTTTCAACTCCTCTCATTTACTTTAGGTAAGAGGGGTGGCCATGGGTGCCCACATGGGCCCTAGTTATGTCTGTTTCTTCATGGGGTACATGGAACATTCCTTATTCTAGTCCTATTCCGGCCCCCACCCACAGTTCTTTCTCCAATACATCGATATCATAGGTGCTGCTTCCCTCTCTCGTCCGGAATTGGAAAACTTCAATTTCACCTCCAATTTCCACCCTGCCCTCACTTTCACCTGGTCTATCTCTAACCCCTCCCTTCCCTTCCTCGAGATTTCTGTTTCCATTTCTGGGGATAGACTGGCCACTAATATCCATTACAAACCCACTGACTCCCACAGCTACCTGGACTATACATCCTCACACCCCACTTCCTGTAAAGACTCCATTCCATTCTCTCGGTTCCTCTGTCTCTGCCGCATATGATCAGATGAGGCCAACTTCGAGAAGGGAGCCTCTGAAATGTCCACCTTCTTCCTCATCTGAGGATTCCCCAGCTCCGTGGTCGACAGGGCCCTCAACCAGGTCCGACCCATCTCCTGCACTTCCGCCCTCATCCTTTCTCTTTCCTCCCCCAACAGCGATAAGGTTCCCCTTATCCTCACATACCATCCCACCAGCATCCACATCCAGAAGATCGTCAGGTGCCATTTCCGCCACCAGCAGACACATATTCCCCTCCCCTCCCTTGTCCGCCTTCCGCAGGGACTGTTCCCTCCGGGACACCCTGTTCCACACTTCCCATGTAACTGGCAAAGGTGCAACACCTGCCCATTTACCTCCTCCCTCTCCAGTATCCAAGGGCCCAAACATACCTTGCAGGTGAAGCAAAACTTAACCTGCACTTCCCAGAATCTATCTTCTGCATTCGTTGCTCACAATGTGGTCTCCTCTACACTGGGGAAACGAAGCATAGACTTGGCGACCGCTTCGCAGAACATCTACATTCTGCTCGCAAAAAAGACCCTGAACTACCTGTTGCCTGCCATTTCAATGCGCCACCCTGCTCCCTGGCCAACGTCTCTGTCTCTGGCTTGCTACAGTGTTCCAGTGAAGCCCAACGCAAGCTGGAGGAACAACACCTTATTTTCCATCTGGAGACCCTACTGCCCTCCGGACTCAATATTGAGTTCAATAATTTTAGGGCCTAAACTCTCCCATGTCCCAGCCCCCTATCCCACACACCAGGCCTTGTTACCACATAGCCTGCCATTACACACCCCCTGTTAGTCACTAACAGTCCCCATTAACAACTATTCACCCTCCCAGCCTGATTGTTAGCAACTCCTTTGGCTGTCCAACTGTCTTTCTCTCTCTTTGGGCTCTTTTTTTAACATTACAGCGCAGTACAGGCCCTTCGGCCCTCGATGTTGCGCCGAACTGTGAAACCAATCTGAAGCCCATCCAGCCTAAACTATTCCATTATCATCCATATGTTTATCCAATAACCATTTAAATGCCCTTAAAGTGGGCGAGTCTACTATTTTTGCAGGCAGGGCATTCCACGCCCTTACTACTCTCTGAGTAAAGAACCTACCTCTGACATCTGTCCTATATCTATCACCCCTCAATTTAAAGCTATGTCCCCTTGTGATAGCCATCACCATCCGAGGAAAAAGGCTCCCACTGTCCACCCTATCTAATCCTCTGATCATCTTGTATGTCTCTATCAAGTCACCTCTTAACCTTCTCTCTAACGAAAACAACCTCAAGACCCTCAGCCTTTCCTCCTAAGACCTTCCCTCCATACCAGGCAACATCCTGGTAAATCTCCTCTGCACCCTTTCCAATGCTTCCACATCCTTCCTATAATGCGGTGACCAGAACTGTACGCAATACTCCAAGTGCGGCCGCACCAGAGTTTTGTACAGCTGCAACATGACCTCATGGCTCCGAAACTCAATCCCTCTACCCATAAAACTTAACATACTGTACGCCTTCTTAACAACGCTATCAACCTGGATGGCAACTTTCAGTGATCTATGCACATGGACACCGAGATCTTTCTGCTCATCCACGCTACCAAGAATCTTACCATTAGCCCAGTACTCTGTATTCCTGTTACTCCTTCCAAAGTGAATCACCTCACACTTTTCCACATTAAACTCCATTTGCCACCTCTCAGCCCAGCTCTGCAGCTTATCTATGTCCCTCTGTAACCTGCAATATCCTTCCGCACTATCTACAACTCCACCGACTTTGGTGTCATCCGCAAATTTACTAACCCATCCTTCTACGCCCTCATCCAGGTCATTTATAAAAATGACAAACAGCAGTGGCCCCAAAACAGATCTTTGAGGTACACCACTAGTAACTGAACTCCAGGATGAACATTTCCCATCAACCACCACCCTCTATCTTCTTACAGCTAGCCAATTTCTGATCCAAACCGCTAAATCACTCTCAATCCCATGCCTCCGTATTTTCTGCAATAGCCTACCATGGGGAACCTTATCAAACGCTTTACTGAAATCCAAATACACCACATCAACCGCTTTACCCTCATCCACCTGTTTGGTCACCTTCTCGAAGAACTCAATAAGGTTTGTGAGGCACGACCTACCCTTCACAAAACCGTGTTGACTATCCCTCATCAAATTATTCCTTTCTAGATGATTATAAATCCTATCTCTTATAATCCTTTCCAACACTTTACCCACAACCGAAGTAAGGCTCACTGGTCTATAATTACCAGGGTTGTCTCTACTCCCCTTCTTGAACAAGGGGACAACATTTGCTAGTCTCCAGTCTTCTGGCACTATTCCTGTAGACAATGACAACATAAAGATCAAAGCCAAAGGCTCTGCAATCTCCTCTCGAGCTTCCCAGAGAATCCTAGGATAAATCCCATCCGGCCCAGGGGACTTATCTATTTTCACACCTTCCAGAATTGCTAACACCTCCTCCTTATGAACCTCAATCCCGTCTAGTCTAATAGACTGTATCTCAGTGTTCTCCTCGACAACATTGTCTTTTTCCTGTGTGAATACTGATGAAAAATATTCATTTAGCGCCTCTCCTATCTCTTCGGACTCCACCCACAACTTCCCACTACTGTCCTTGACTG